TGCCAGGCAGTCAACATCATTAATATATAAGGAAAATAGCAGAGGAGGCAATGGAGAGCCTTGCTTAACCCCTAACCTAGGATGCACATGTGCTCGCTTACACCCATCCACCAAGATGTACTCATCATTGTCAGTGTTTTTCAGGATAGCCAGCAAGCAAGATGGCATGTGAATGCGTTGAAGGTGAGTCCAAAGCTACATATTACCTCTAAGCCTTCAGCCATAAAGTTTCTTTTTGAATTGGAAAAAAAAAAAAAAACTTTAGGAAAAAGGCTCCGACACATGGGAGGCAAGCATTTCCATCATAAGAGATATTGTAAATTCACATCGCTTCCTCCACCTCACAAGGGCAGCTTAGTGGAGGAAACGCTGATGCCTGAAATCAGAGGAGTGCCACCAGTGTGTGGACTTGAAATGCCCTAAAGAAAAGAAAAGAAAAAGAAAAGTCTGCGTAAGCCAAAGGCCGCGTGCATTAAGGGAAGAACCCCTAACAAAAGTTAGAGGAAACATGCTTTCACCAAAATGTGACGGGATGAGAGTTATATCTGCTGAAAGCCTGTAGTGATCAGCAATATTTTTCATCCCATCACTAGCTGGCGGCAGTGATCTATCACAGGTTGGCAGGAGAATTCAGAAAATTTTGGAATTTTGACCTCATCTGAGTGAATCTAACCTGTGGGCTACAGGCCCAAATCGCTGAGAATCTTTTTTTCCCACCATTCTTTTTCAAATCTGACTATGTCAACCATTATAATACCAATAAAAACAATGTTCACTAAGAAATGAAGAAGATCGGAGGAACCCAGATCACTCTCCTGGCCTCAGATCACCCTAAAATGGCTCACAACTCCACCCTGGGACCATTTTCCACCCCCAAAATATTTTCTTAACATCCCTAATATGACATGCTAATATCCTGCATATTCAAAAGTGAAAATGAAAGAGGTCAAAAATTGACTTTTTTGGCACCCCAAGTGCTGGACTTCTTCTGAGGGAAATGGCCGAAATTCAGCATCTGACCAAACACTGGGTTTTTTCACTCCATTTTTTTGCAATGATATTTTTCTATTACAAGGACCCCAAGTCACTAAAAATCACTCAATTTGGTGCTCTGGCTGGTCAGATATGGTGGGTGCCTACTCAAAAAATAGCGTTCAAGTTTTGGCAAATAGCAGAAGTGGCCCCAAGTAGCACCTTTCAAATTCAGGAGCTATGGATACCATTTGATGCCAAGCACAAAAAGTGCCAAGTGGGGCCACCCTGCCAAGGGAATATTTCAAAAGTACCCCCATTTGAGGCCTTCGTCATCCACCTTTGGAAAAAAAATTTTTTGTCAAGGCGGGGAGCCAATGTAATTTTCGGTTGAAAATGTGTTAAGTTTTCCAATTTCCGATTTTCAATTGAAAATGGAAATGGAATTGGAACTTCTGCCCGTGAGGCCACCTCCTGTCCATTTGACGCGCTGCAGTGACACAGCAATGACCCTGGTGTTCTGCATGCCCAGGCCTGAGGAATTGGATGGGCGGATGGGCCACTTTTTTGCGCTGACCATGTATGGAATATATCCAGTGCAAGCTGAACAGACGCGGCCTAGGCGTGATGAACGCAATATGTTTATAAATAATAATGTATATTTGACCAATGCTGCCACTAGCTTGCACTGGATATGGTCAACGCAAGAAAGTGTCCCGTCTGCCCGTCCAATCCCACAGGCCTGGGCATGCAGGGGCATTGCTGTGCCACTGCAGCGCGTCAAATGGAGAGGAGGTGGCCTCGCGGGCAAGAGTCCTGTTTCCATTTCCATTTTCAAACGAAAATTGAAAATCGGAAAACCCGCGCACAATTGCGCCTGAAAACCACATTGGCTCCCCCCTTGCCATAATTTCCATCATAATGAAACAACTTTTTTAAACCCAGGAATTCAGAGCAGTGGAGTCAGTTAGGTAGGCATTTGACCGGCGGGCTAAACTCTTTTTCAGACATAGCTGGAGAAAAATATAATTAGCGATTGTTAAGTCTCCCATCAGAAAGGATCTGCCCTTGTGCGCCTAGAGGATTTTAGCTTTAGGCGGATTCAGCACAAGACAGAGAAGCGCTCACGTACATGCAAGCTGACCCCCTTGTACAGAAAGGGACACTTCCTTGAACCTAACAGCTATTACATGCTGGCTGTTAGTGGCACAATGTACCGCTTGTACGCTAATGTGATTCGTTCTCTTGTAACAGACTGGTGCGTGGCGTCAAATAAGATTCCTGACACACAATTCGGTGTCTACCTAGGCAGGAACACCCTCCAGCCCATCTTCATTTTAAGGCACCTACAGCATGCTGCACGCACGATCCAGCCAGGGCGATCTAGCCGGCTGCACACAGCGTTCATTGACTTTAAGCAAGCCTATGATACCATCCCTAGGCAGGCACTCTGGCAGCACTTGCAACGCACACGCATGCCCATTCCTCTCTTGTCCATCATTAAAAACATGTGTGATGCTGATGAGTATATTTTGAGAGATGGACAGAAGGCTGCTCGGGTGAACCCTAACACGGGTGTAAAGCAGGGGTGCCCTTTATCCCCTCTGCTTTTTCCTCTGTATGTGAATGACATTGATGAGATTGCGGAAAGGGTGCAAGGTGCTGTAACGGGTACAGCTGAGTTCCATCATGATGTGACGCACATGTTGTACGCTGATGACCTGGCTCTGATGGCCAATGATCCTCATGCTTTGCAGACCATGCTGAACCGCTTACATGCGTTTGCTCAGCGGAAGCACTTAATTATCAACACCGCTAAGTCGGAGGTAGTTCACTTTAATTCCTCAGGGTCMGATCTGCCTGTTTTTCATGTTGGGGGGGTGCCACTGGCACACAAGGAGCCTTTCAAGTACCTCGGCATGATGTTTCACAAGCGCATGAGCATGACTAAGTCCTCTGAGCATGCTACTGGTCCGTTCATGGCGTCTGCTTTTCGGGTCCTTCAATTTGTTCGTGAGCACTCTCTGGCAAATAGGCCATATGTCTCTCTGTGGCTTGGGAAGACGTATGTGGTTCCGGCTGGACTGTATGCAGGGCAGGTGTGGGAAACTGAGTACATTAAAGAGGGCAAGGAGTTTGCAAGTGACCTGCAAGTGCGGCACATGAGTTATCTAAAAAGCACGCTGGGTGTCAAACGTACCACTCCAAACTGGGCTGTTTTGTGGGAGTGTGGTCATGAGCCGCTCCAGTTTTATTGGTTCAGATCTGTTGTTAAAATGTATAATAGCATGCTCAGGTCCAATAGCGAGATGCTGAGAAGCATGCTGAAAGCGGATCTGAACATTCATTCTCGTGAGCTTTCTTGTTGGACTGCTCAAGTTTTAGATGCCTTTCAAGGATTGCGGCGCTGTGATTCCTTTGTTGAAGCTGTGCGGCAGGGTACTCCTATTTCTACTCAAGAGTTCACTGCTGACCTCAGGCACAGGTTGCGGGCAGTGTGGAGAGATGTTGAGGGAGTCAACCCACGGGAGACTTACAGTAAATTGGCAACCTATCTAACTTTGTTTGCAGTGCCTTTTGACCACAATGTGCGTGCCCCAGCCCGCTTATTGAGACACATGCATTTGGATCTGTCTCAACATGTCGTAAGGAATGTTAGCCGATTCAGACTTAGGGCACACAGGTTGAAGGTAGAGACAGCAGCTTGGGATTCTCGAAACTCTTTCGTGTGTGATTGCTGCTCTAGTGCTGAGATTCAGGATGAAGTCCATGCCCTTTTGGTGTGTACAAACTCAGATGTTTGTGATTTGAGGAGAAAGTATGCTCACCTGTTCAACTGCTTCTCCGGTGTTTTATCAACTTGAATGGAGCAACCTTGTTTACAGCAAGTTAGTGTCCAGGCTGTGCATGATTTCCTCTTGCAACACAACAAGCTTTATTTGTTTATTTCTGAGCTTATGGATATTATGTTGGCTGGCGAGGACCAGTCACAGGCCGATCAGTCGAACAATGTGGCTGAAGGTCCCCAAATGTAAATGTAAATCTAAAAAAAATCACCTACCCGTCCTCCAGCGGTCCAAACATTTTCGTGTAATCTTAATCATTACTTCAATGTATCCGCGAACCAAAACTTCAGAAATGTGGCCCTGGGGATCTATTGCGGTCTAAATTTGATTTTGCCAATACATAAGCGGCCCCCAGCAGGAATCTGACAGCAAAGGAAGAGCCACAAGGAAGAGCAAGAAAAAGAGCCATTAAAACATGCTCGAAAAAGAGCAGCAAGAAAAGGACCAGCCTTAGTGTACGGCGTGAGGATTTTTTTTGCTATTACATGAGCGGCCTCCAGCAGGGACCTGACAGCAGAAGAGCCGCAAGAAAGAGCGAGAACAAGTGACGCTGAAACACAACTCAAGAAAAGGACCAGCCCTACTGAGAACCTCCGCCTTTCTTCTCTTGACCTTTCTTCTCTGTAAATTTCTGTAACTACTGAGAACCTCCGAAGAAAGGACAAGGCAAGGCCAAGCTGCCAAAGGCACGTGGGAGAGCAGTTTGCAGGAAGGAAACTTAAGTCAAGCAGGAAACAACACCCCAAGCTCCACCCAAAGCAAGCAGCAGAAGGAAAACTGTTCAGACCAAGAAGGACACAAGCCCAGAAAAAAGGCAAGGCCACTGGAAGCAAGAGAGGACAACAAAGACAGAAGAGACCCACACAGAGTTGCGACCCACACAGAGTTGAGGCCCACACAGAGTTGAGACAGCGGGGAGCTGAAGTTGAGGGAGCAGAGAGCAGCCAGGCAGGCCAACAAAGGCTGACTAGCAAGGAAACAGAAGCAAGGTGACTACAGAAACTGAGAGAGGCAAACGCAGAAGAAAGCAAGGAGAGGCTAACTCGGCCGAAGATCCCTACTGGCGGGCGGCTACTCACGGCTAACCTAATACCCCCCCACCCCCCCAAGGCGCCCCAAGACCACACCAAACCAAAGCCTTTAAAATTTATATACAATTGAAATTGTGAGCGTGGAGGTTAAGCTGCTATGGCCAAATGGCCAAGGCGCCTCTTTCGTAAAGAGGAGATTCCAGGTTCGATCCCTGGTAGCAGCAACTTTTTCCCGATATAGACACAAAACGCATACCGACACCTTCGTATGGATAGGGTATTCCTTGTTCATGTCAATTTCTCAGGAACACAAGGGTCATGAGTGATTCATTTTTCGAGTACCAAAAACGGAAGCAAAAACGTCTTTTGTCTCCACCATCCATTGCAGGGAACAACTGAGAAACATTTAATTAGTCGTCGTGATCTTAAGGATCACTTTAAACCTTAAAACCTTCACCCTTCAAAATTTGTGAAATTGTGTGTGTGTGTGTGTGTGTGTGTGTGTGTGTGTGTGTGTGTG